CCGTGGTTGTAGACACGTCGCTCTACTCACTCAGCGTCGGATAAGCTTTAACACTCCCCGTACAAAGTAACAATGAACAAGTGGTTATGACATGGCGGCTCAGAGGTTTATTCTCGTCAATGCAAAAAATAGAGGTGCGGTAATAAAAGTTTATCGCCGTGTTATAGAACAACAAAGTATCAATGGAACAAAAACAAGACTCGGTCGCGATGTAGGTCACAGTACTCGAATCATCGCGCAGTAGCCCAGAGGTGGTTAAGCTAATAAATTATCCGTAACATGCTCTCGCCTCGCCTCGCCTCGCCCGCGATACAAATTGATGGGTTCCTTCGCAAACGTAATTAATTTAAAGTGTGAAGTCTTATATCACTTATAAGATTAGATTAGATGCCTTCATAAACAGCTTTCTATTTAATTTATTGGAATATCGATCAATAGAATGTCACAAGATGCTTTATTGCAATTCTATTGCTTGGACTTCGAACCTTTGCTGTAATAAATTAGTAGGCTCAGGTTTCATTGTAGATAATGTATTGAAGTAATTCTGAGGTAATAAAAGTGGAACAGACGTAATTGGTAAAGGCATTTCGGCTATGTATGTATCTAGAACACATATTGAATGAGCATTTATTATGATATCTACAATTTAAGGTTATTTTTAGTCACTTTTAGCGCATCGCACAGATGCATACGTTTCATTAATCAACGCCACTCGCCACGATAAAAATAAGATGTACATAAAAATATTTGAGAAGAAAGAAAATCCGTAAATTGTACAATAACATTGCGGGCAACATACCAAATAAAAACTCAATAATCCGCGTTAAAGTTCGTAAGAGTTCTTTACATCTTGTTTTACGAGTGTGGTACGATGGTTACTCAACATGCATGTACGAATGTACGTGCGCCAAACTTTGTGGAATTCAAAACGGATCGTTAGTTATTATGGCAGAATAACATATACATCAGCGGCAGGAATCAGGAACTGTCGTATTGTGTTGTTACTGTCGATCTGATAGCATATATCATTTAATTTATTTGATCAATGACTGTTACAAAACAATGAAATTCTTAGAATACAAGCTAAGATGTCGTATGTGAACATTGTTTTGGAGTAATGAAGGAGACGTGTCCGCCTACAACAGTGTTGTCTTGTTGCAGAGCATCAGATATAGCATGCTGACGAGGTGGTTGGCGCTGGCGCTGGTGGTGGCGTGCTGTCGGCTCGCCGACGCCTGCACGTGCCCGCCCGCACACCCACAGACACACTTTTGTAACAGCGATTTCGGTAAGTTACATTTAATTAAACACTACCCTAAGTTAATGTTCTGTGAATAATTAATCTACGTACGATCAAATAACATATTTCAAAGACTTAGCGAATATTGGTAAACTTAATTAATTTTCAATAAATTTATACATAATTTCGTTCTAGATATACTTTGTAACGCTTGTTTCTGAAATAATTGGGTTCATCGATTTTTTCAGTGATCGTTGGTCGAGTACAAAAGATATTTCTTGGCAAAGATTTCTACGACGCATACAAACTGAAGATTCGAAACACTTACAAAGTAAGTACTGAAATATTTAATGGACGTAATAACCACTTAAGTAATTTTTGAATGGCCTACAATGTTTATTTGAATACAATAGTTTGATTCTGGACTAACGTGTTTGTTCTAAATGAAAGTTTAGAAAACTTGTTCTATTTACTTGGTGAGCTAAAGATAATGTAATTGTATTGCAGGCGACACCAAAAGCGAGGGTGGCTCTACAATCCGGCCGCCTATTAACACCGTCTCAGGATTCTTTGTGTGGGGTAACTCTGCAGCCGAGGGAGACCTATGTTATTACAGGTGAATATTCTCTCTTCTACACATCTAATAGGATGTCGCCGGGAATATTAAGAATGTTCAAGTCAATTTAAGGGATAAACTCTGTTCCCGCTGCCGGCTTACCTGAAGTAAGCCTCGCAGGATCGATATTGCTCCAACGTAAAATGTTGACAGTGCACGGAACGGAGCCTAGCTCGCCAACCAGGAAACATTCAGATAATTTATTGCGCACTGCACACAATATCCTAATACAAGTCGAACAAATATAATTTAACCAACTACTTTTAGGAATTTTAAGCTGACATTAATCGCTTAGACCAACCACATCAACGCATTAGGTTCAATGCCTAAGACTTGCTTGACTCATTAGAATTTGACTTTGTAATACAATAAACATTGCCTAGTATGGCTGAGTATAAACAATCATGACCTGCAATTAAGCAATTGCGTCGATAAGTATGTTAACATGTACTACGGATATAACTGCGACAGTAGACAAAAAAGCAAAGATTTATTCTTTGTTATCATTTCAAAAGTTTTAATTTCTTTCTGTCATTGAGCCAAGCATTCCTCTTTGCAGTCGTCCAATTTGTCCGAATAATTTATTCATTGGAAAATTGTCCTGATTCCAAATGGACCTGGTGGGTAGAATTGGAAGGCATAAAAGGATTCGCCATAAAAGAAATGTAAAATAGGGACGTTCGTGTAAACTTTGAGTTACGATGTTCTTTCTACGTAGAATAAAGAAAACTCATTTATTATTTTGTTACAAGTCGTCTACGTGGAAGATTTATGATGAAACGACTTTGACGGGTTATTAGCGCACCTCAACAAAAGTTACTAATGTATAATAATTCTCTCTTTCCGTGTTCCAGGTCGAGTAGTACACTTGGAAGCTCACGTGCATTTGTGTGGTTTTGTCAGCAAATGGCGTGATGTCACTCCTCGCCAAAGAAAAGGATTCCGTCTTCTCTACAAACAGGGTTGTACTTGCAAAGTAAGTTATCAACTTATGGTAGAATTTGAGATCGATTTTAAGTTTCAGCCAAACAGCTGCATAAGTTTTAAACTTTCCCACAGTCAGTAAGGAATACATACAAAGTATGCATTTAATTCCAAAGATAACGCAAAACATGCAATAAGTTTGGTATAAGATACCTCACAATTTCCGTTGGCTTAACTCGCAGACCGTAGTATAAAAGTTATTTGAAATTTAAAACTAGAAGCAACGGTAAACAAGTAGTTTGAAGTCGTTACCACGTATGCATAAATAGCAGTAACTAAAGAAAATGTATATGGAACTATTCATTTCTCGAAATACGAACCAATTTCCTTATTTTCTTCTCTCGTTTTCCGAATCGTATCACTCATGTAAGACGAATATTTTTCTGAGTCAAGCATACATTACAGCTCCCAAGTCACTGCTTATTGATATTCAACGACTACGTCGACCAATCTATGCGTACTGCTTGTAAATGCCGGCTAGCGAAGATTACTTATGTAAAACCGATTTATAAAATTCAATATACATTATCAAGGATTAGGGCGATCAAATAGCCATTGATCTGGGCAAAATTCGAAATCGGATTTATTTGTTGGTTAGATATTTATGGTACGAAAAGTTACGATGTGGCGTAGCAAGGATTTCTTTTTTCATTACCTACGAAAATGTATAGTAATCTATTAATATAATATAGTTTGTGTAAGTAGAAGATGATTAATATGTTATTATGGCAGGTCCACATGAATCGACGGCGGTCCAAGTCGCCGAACGCCTGCACGACAGGCTACAACGAGTGCTACGAGCGACACGGTATCTGTCTACACGACCGCGAGCGCCTGTGCCGCTGGACCAGGTAAATATAATCACTCTTTGTGTGTTATGACGTTGTATATTTGTGACAATAATTACTAAAATTTGAAACGTAATGAGTTTTGAATAGACCGTACTATTTTATGTTACACATCAGCGAATTTATTCTTCTACAAACGTTAAAGTAGTTATTGTGTAAATAATAATTACGAATATAGAAACGTCCGACAGTTATGCCTGTTAATAACTAAAAGTACCTAAGTCGGACAAGGAAACAATAACAAAAATACAAAGCATGGTACCTAAAACTCTCTAATTACTACATTAAACGAATCGTAAACAATAAATTTCATAAGCAACCTTGACGCATATTACTAATTCGCACTCCGTGTGCCAAGCCGGATTACGCACACAATGAACAATTTTATGCTCCCATTCAGAGCTATTTTATACATACTCAAGAAATCCTTAATATAAAGCAGAAGGTTTCACGTTTCAAACAGTATTAAAATCGAATAAACACCTACGTTGTCACTGTGCGTTTGTAATATGGGGAACACGTTACAGTCGTAAACAGGCGCGCGTTTGATGTCCGCCTCGACCAGCACAGTTAGTGTTGATGGGGCTACGTGTGCTGCTATTTGTCACTCAACACGTGTGTATTTATGTTGCAGGGCTCCCGCTCTCACGAGGTGCCTCCAAGCGACGCGCCACAATGGCACTATGACTTGATTCACCACTTCGATGCACAAGTTCACTCTAAAATGTACCTTTTGAACATCTCATTACGTCGTCCTCGTGAAAAATTACAAAATCATTCACACCCATTACTAATCGTACGCAACAGAGCAGCTGTTAATACTAAACCAAACATTATTTTTAATAACATTAGATTCATTTTCGACGTTAAGTTATTTAGTTGAATGTTGTGTGTATGAACTGTAGAGTTAAATTAGCTTTATTGGCAATGTGACGAATTTATTGGTTGCAAGTCTTCGAAAATTGTTAATTTGTGATTTTTCTTTTGGACGCTTCTAAATTGTTGTTTGTCTTCCGAGACAAATATAGTTGTAACGTTATTTTTGTATTATTTATTTTTAAGTTAATGATTGTAAATTAACTAATTATAGTGATAAATAGGTTAAAATAAAGAAATTGAAACAGTTCCTGTAGTCTTTGAATTACCTTAATATGTTAGAAACGTATAGTGTGCCTTGGAAAATTTTAAGGGCAATGTTGCACCGCTGTGACATATCCCCTGTGTGACGTATCCTACGCCAAATTTGTTTGGAATATTTGCACTAGCACATTCCAAACAAATACAAGGATACAGAGTTGAATCAGGTACTTACCATATCAGTGTGGTTATGGTAGTAGGTCTGCTCGATGAGCGGGAAGTTCTCTCTGCCGAGACGCCGCTGTAACTGGAGGAGATGACCGAATACCCAAGGACGGTCCTAAACAAACAGAACGTATATTATCATTCACCTAATTTAAGTTTGTAGACCAAGTATAAATGTACTCTAAACGGCCAAATTTCTTCAATAGGCTATTATTAACTTTATCGTATAACAATAAAGTCTAAATCTATTGAGTTATTACGTGAGTAACTGGAATAAACAACAGTGGAAGTTATTAAATTACCTGGAAGTGGTAGATAGAGTTTAGGCTGTTGATGGAAGGTACGCCGCCGAACTTGAGACCAAGAAGCAAGGCTCGGTGGTCAGACCCTGCGTCTCGGACATTCTGCCTCACCAACACGAAGTCAGGCCTAATAGACAGATGTATAATAGATATAAAGTAATTAACATTGACTTAATCGAATACGTACAACTAAAAAAACTTAATGAAGTCTTAAAAAGGGAAAGGACAAAGAAGGAATAGAAATAAAAAAAATATTTCATCTACACAGAATTAAAAGAAAACAGACCGTAATGGACGCAACTAATTCTAATTCTTTTCAGACTAGCTATTCCAATTTCAATATTAATAATTCTTTGAAATATTTGACTATGAATTACCAATACATTCAAATAGAAGCTCTTTCGATAGTAGTCATCCTGTGACGGCAGTATACAAATATTTTTCTAAGCACCAACCATGAGAGGAAGTAGTTTACACAAGTTTAAACAAACTTAGTTATTGGCTCTCTATTATTATGTAAATTGTACAGCGCCCACACTTCAATCAGAAAAGACAACGCAAACAAAAGTTGTTACAAACTTCCATATACATTTTATCATTTCATACTCCGCTTGAGTCATCAAAACAGTTCATCTATAAATAGAACATGTTCATATGTTTGTTTTCCACTTAGATTATCTCATCGTTCAACTTATAATCTAAGTAATTAGATTGTTTTGCGAGATTATAAATTTCATTATTAAATCTCCATTTGAACTTTAATTATATTACCGTTCTCTTACAAATTCCCTGAGTAATACTTATTTGTGTTAGAATTTTAAATGAGCGTTTCTTAATTAAGTAAGTTGGCGGCGAGAGCGTCTCGGTTGTTCTTGGATGAAATGTAGCGAGGAATATTAGTTAAATACGTTAATGACTGAATTACTTACTTGAAGCATCGGGTTACTTTGGTTCCGCTGCGATAAACCGCCATAGATACGTTGGCTCCGTCAGAATTGGCCGTCACAGTCAATTCCTGTGCCGAATAAACGATTCAAGTTATACAACAAATTGCTGGCAGCTCCTAATAAAGGAACGCCAAGGGGTCGATTTGATTAGCCCTTTTGACTTAAGCTCCCAACTTTGATACTCTTTGCCCTTTGAGAATTACTTAAATACGTACTAAGACCTTTGTAAAGGAAGATTTTTTAAATGAAATTGTATGTTGAAAATGGCTTTAATATAAGTTGACGCTTGTTATTCTCTGAAGAAAAAGACAGAAGTATAATAAATGAGTAGGTACAATTTTCAAAAACTATTGTTTACAATCTCAATTTGTTTGCGATGAAGTTGTTAAAATCAAGTTCATTTAAGCGAAATATTCTACACCTATGCAAAGATGTCATAATTAGGCCATAACATTAAGTATTTTCAACAACAATGCGCCATTATTTCGCAACAGAATCTGTTAAAACGAGGCCCCATATCATGAGCATCTCATAAAGATGTTATAAAAAGATTTCATGGCCGCTGTAGGAGAAGGTTAAATGTTGGTAATAATTAATAAGTTGAGGGTAACACACGTGACGTTGACACGGGCGGTGGGCAGCGTCCCTGAATATTGCAATAGTTTGTCCTACCACACCTCTTTTGTGAAAAGGGTACATAATTGATCAGCACGTCATGTGTGGCCAGTTGGCTATCACGGTTTTTAGAACACCATTTCGTAATAAATACTAACCAACCTTATTGGTTGGTTTCTACTGCAACTGGTACATAACAGTAGGCACGGCAAATAGCCACTCCTAACTTATAAACATGTGGGTAACTTAATTTTGTTGAAAGTGCCCCTTTTATGAAAGTCATAATAAACCATAGTTTCTATCTTCTATAAAGAGTGGTACTTACCCTAAATTCAGCTTGTTCGACGCGGATATCCCACTCGCCAGGCAGACGGCGGCCTCTGAAGTACTTAGACCAGTCGGTATTCTGGTCATCCACCACCAGCAGCGTCACACATCGGTCTCGGTTGTAGCCACGACCGACAGACGCCACGGACGTTACACTCCCTAAGAAATCATTTAATAAGCTGCATAGCTCGTATTTGTACACACTTGAAGATTGCTATCAGTTGATAAACAGAAATGCTTCAATATCAATGGGGGAAATCTTGAAGATAATGACGAAATTCTCAGAGCGCTGGAGAAGAGGAGAAGATGCGTAAGTTGAACAAGTCAAGTAGAGCTGTTTTTAGTAAAACTATTAAAAAAAGGGCAGCAATGACTAACCCTTTTCCCCCAATTCCAGTGTTTAACTTATCAACAGGCCGATTTAATCAGTACCTATATTATTTTATACGTAAAAATGACACACATTTTTACTTCATTTATAATTCTGTTCCCCATTTCCCAAGCCATATCTTATGAAGATAAAACCCAAATTTAGAGGCAGTCGACTGTAAAAGCGGGTCCCTTGGGAAAGGCTGTAAACATACGTTACCTAATAAATTGGCGCCTTGATCTCTTGCGGCGCCAGTGAGAGATTGTACTCGTTGGAGAAGAGACTCGCGGGACTTGGCCGGGGAGGAAGGTGCGGATGTCCCGCGCGATCCTCCCCGCAGGTTGAGCGAGAGATCCCCTCCACTGCTCGCCGCAGCTGCCGCGGATGCGGACGGCGCCGGAGGAGGACCCGACGCGCTGCCAATGCTGCCCCCGGTGGCTATGTTCGAATAAACAGTTCTCAGCATACAATTCGTTAATTTGTATTTTGAATAAATGTACTTATCTGCTGTGTACGGATTTTCATAAATTTTACCTGACAATGACAAGTTATCATCCCTGATGATATTTCATTATTGTATGTTATGAATAAATTACTTTATCACAAACTGAAATATGTTTTCTAGATTTGTTAGTTGATAGCTTACCCTGGGAGGTCGGCCTTTGACTCTGCGGTTTCGGCTGGCTGGTGGTGGCCGGCCGGCCGGTGTATGGGTCCACCTCGCCTTCATCACACTCGGATTGCAGGTCCCCCGAGCTGAATCTGCGCAACGCCTCCACTGAACTACACGCCGCACGCCACCGCCACGCCGCGCCAAGTTACAGGGACACGCAGAGGAGGGACAAAATCGACACACACAATGTAGCCACTCATGGTCACCTAACCTTAACAACTCGCCAATCAACGTGAACACTGCCATCATTGCCATCAAGCTCACTAAATCGGAATGATCTCCTACAGTGCTGACAACTGAGAAGCTTATTCTATTTTATTTGTTAATCTTATTCCGTCGGAGTGAACATAACAGTTTAAAGTTTTAAAGAAATAAACGATATCCCAGCTGTAACAATGACTTGTTTAGCAGCAACATCGAATCACGACAATGACATCGGAGGAAAGCGCCATGCACCGAATGCAGGTAGTCAGAACTGTTATTTGTTGTAAGATAATAACGACAACAAGTAGCAGCAGTGAAATGGTCACATACAATCACAGTCGAGGCTGATGAGTGGTGCTACACGGTATGTAAAGTGGAGCGGGGGTCAGGAGCCGGAGGGTGGGGGCGCGGGGTACAAGGGAGGCTTGTGCCGACAGGGGTGGAAGCAGCGCGGTGAAGCGGTTCGGGCTTTTTACGGTGTCATAAATTTTGCTTTATCCTTAAATTATAAACTGAATTTTCATATAAAACATAATTTATAAATCCAACTTGTAAATATAACAACAAATTAGCTGAACTATTTATGTACCAAATAAAAGATTAGAAAATATTAAGGCAAGAATACATCTTCAAGTTTCAAATTCTACCGTCTAACACATTTTTACTGAAGAGATTGTTTGAAATCTGACATCTGTTTAAGACAGGTAGAGGTAAAACATAAAACAATCATCACAAGATACATGGAAAGACTGTAAAAGGCTTCAATCAAATCATGCATTACAATTTATAGGTACACCAAAACCAGAAGTATAGTAACGAGACAGTTAACATGCGAACTAGGGACTTACCTTCGTTTCAGGTAATTGACATTGGTGGTGAAGGAGTTTCGGAAGCTTGAGAAAGACAGGGTTGATGTGGTCGCGGCCTGCGGGCCACAGATCCCAGGGCACCCCGAACGCTCTATTTTGCCGCCCCCTTTTATCAAAATACAATTATGAAAACAATGTAATTTGGGTCCACTTTAGCACAAATACTAACTTGTCATCAATTATCCTCGTAATCAAACTTACGGTACGTAAGTTTTAGGTGCTTTAGGTGTTACCACTAACAATGATTTTATTCTTATAGGTGCGAACGGTTGCTTAATTGTAAAATCAGTCATAAAAACTTGTTCATTATGATACCAGTACAAATTTGATCAGAATCACCTTACATTTATTAGATACAGGTACATTATAGGCAAACGTAAAATACATATATCATATTCGTATGTAATGACAAACACGTACGTTTCGTAATTTCATCATATATAGTTATACCATATTACACATGGAATACTGTGACAATGATATTCGGTTAACAAGAAAAAACTCAACATGTGCTCGTTCCACGAGCTAATAAAGGAAACGAAATAAGCCTGGAAGAAATATATTTTGCAAGCTTATTCGTGCAAATAGGGAAAAACTATACAATTCAGTAATTTTTTCCTCATAAGTAATACTTAACCTATCTTTTATTTAATGTTAATAGTCGAACTTTGATTTTGTTTAGAAAACCTTGTGTTTAAACATAAACTGGTAAACCTTACTTTGTAGAACAGCCTATTTTTACTATTTGAAGGCGTGATATAGTTGATATTATCTTTTAGTGTTTGATACTCATTTACTACTTTTTAGTACATTATCTTAATATTTATACTTAAAGTCTTCTAATATACATTGCATAGTGTAGTTGGTTTCAGCAAAGGAATTCTAATATCCTAGCATAGTAGCTTACATTTGTGACTGCAATTAAACACATAACACTAGTTTATTACTAAACTGCACAGACTGTAAGTGTCTGCTACGTAATAGCCACAATTAACATACATTTTGTCGTGCGGAATTGTATTAAAATGTACGCAGAGATTTTCCCGTCGAAATAAGAACTGTTCGTTTTTTGAGATAGCACAATTTGTTTTTACCATTTCTAAAGTTAGTTATCGTAACAACCTGAACTTACCCTATATAAAACGAATTGAAACTACCTATCGTATTTACTAGCACCCAATATTAATGAAATTAGGTATACGTAGTTTGTAGGATTGTTTATCATAAACTAGCTGTTGCCTGCGACTTCGTCCGCGTAGAATATTAATTTTAGAACATAATTTTCTTCTAGTTTCTTTTTTCCAAAATAAAAGTAGCCTATATTACTCCTTAGTACATCAGCTACCTGCTAATAACATCTTGCATAGGTCTAGCCATTCTAGAGATTAGCCAGTATAAACAGACGGACAAAAATTGCAAAAAATGTTATTTTGGTATGTGTATCGTATGTCCATCTAAGCATGTAGTAAAAAGCGGTTATTTTAATATTACAAACAGACATTAAAATTTATTTATCTGTATGTATAGATGATAGGAAAAACTTCTTCGAAAGGTCCTTTCAACATTCTCAAACACTTTCCTTTTTGTTTCAAAAGAAGCTAAGTGTCATGTAAATGCTCCAAGAGCTTTAACTCTGTAGCATGACAAAAACACACAAGAGGTACAAAGAGGGCGAGTGAGACTTGAGTAGGCGCTACTCCACCCCTTTTTGTACACAACCCTTGCATGCAACGGCGAAGTTCGCAAGTTGTTATGCTCAATGAAATGACCGCACGTTTCCTTTTCATTATGCTTCTGGAAATTAGATATGTCCTCATATTTTAATTGATAGCTAAGCACTGGAATATTTCTACAACCCGCATTGAGCAAGCGTGGTGATCAATGCTCAAACCTTCTCCGTGTGAAAAGAGGCTTTGCTCATCAGTGGGCATTTAAAGGTTGTTGATGATGACTGTAATATTGTATTGCTTATAGAATTAAAGCTTTGTTAAATTTTTTGAATAAATGAAACTTGTCAGACCACTCTACTATTCATATAATTTAATCACCAAATACGAACACTTCTCTAAAAGCCTTCACGTAAATACCCTAAACAGATTTACTGTAAACCCAGAATACTTGATCTACGAAAACACGATTTTCATGGATCCGGAATAGCGGTAGGAACAAGCTTGGGTAAATGTAAACCGAAGCGTAAAGCTGATTTCCTGTACCGAGTGAGTAGAAAATACAACCTAAACAGCATTCGCAAAAAGGTGAATTTACTTCTTACCTACAATAGATATTTACTTGGAGTATTCTTTTATATAGCAAGGATTTCGTTCTGCGTAGGTAAAATACAAGATAAATATGTACATAAACTTACCTCGGGATTTCTACCGGCAAGTGTCGCAGATGTCAACAATGTTAATGGAATAAACGCGGCTAGATGAACAGCTCGTGAGGTGGGGGAGGATCTACCTGCGAACAAAATATTTGGAACAATTTCAATTTGACTGTTTTACAATACAATTTCAATTCAACTAAGCCCGTTAGGTACGTCTGCTCAAATTCGTTAATTTAGGCGAGACGAGCATACGTACGGGAGGCGGTTTGCTAGGCAGTGAAGCGTTTGCACTGCGTACATGACTGACCTTATCTTATTTGATGAAGGATCCTTAGCACTAACTGGATTTATGAAGATCTATTTGTGTTCAGTTCCTAGAACAGATTACATAATTTTGGTTCAACCGATATCTAGATTCCATAACATCGTTAATTATCTTCTGTAGGAACATTTTTCAAATAAACAATTTCTCTAGGAAATTGCAAAGAGTGGGAGAGCTATGCTTCGGCACGAATGGGCCGGCTCGACCGGAGTGATACCACGGCCTCACAGAAAACCGACGTGAAGCAACGCTTGCGGTGTGTTTCGTCGTGTCAGTGAGGATACCGGAGGCCCAATTACCCTCCCCTTCCCCAATCTCCCCAATCCCTGAATCCCCAACAATCCTCAAACTCCTAATCCCCAAAAGGCCGTTAACGCACTTGTAATGCCTCTGATGTTCCGGGTGTCCATGGGCGACGCCGATTGCTTATCATCAGGTAATCCGTCTGTTCGTTTACCGGCTTATGCCATAAAAACAAAATAAAAAAATAAACAACAGCAGCACCCTAATAACTACTATAAAGAACTATTTCAAACAAACCAGCCAGCCAGGCGCCAACTCAGTACGATGAGGTTGATCATAAATACACATTTAGGATATCTAGTGTTAAATAAAACAGATTTGTCACGAAGTTACTTTCTTTGTTTACGATGAGACATGATAAATTACACATTTATCTCCGAAATCTATTTGTTTCTGTTTTTTTATATCATTTTGTCATCATCACGACAAACAAAACTTCTATAATACATCATCTAAAGAAAGTAGTTGAAGATTGTTCTAGAATTTCTTTTCAAGTTGAGTTACGAATCTCAACTGCTATGAACTAAATTATTAGCCTTTTAGGACGCAACCTGAAGAAGAAAAGTAGAAAATATATTACGTGAAGTAGGTACTGAACAGAGCAGAGTAAGTTTTTGAAGAGAGAATTTTCTCTAGCTAGAAGTAAACTTAAGATTCTTTAACACCGTTTTTATACGTCAAGACATTGACTTGTTAATATTTGGTAGAAGTAATTGGACTTAGAGGTAGGTACAGGATCTTAATGCCACCATTTACTGATCATAAAAATTAAACTTTAATAGATATCATTAAACTACCAATACATTCAAAATATAATTAGGGAAGATTAGATAACAAAAGTAAAAAATCCGAGCAATATAAGGATGGTATTAACATTTTCTCAAATTTGTATTTCAGTCATGAACTTGAATAAAGTTACACTTGGAATAATTTATTCTTGGGTTGGTTGGGTTAAATGTCAACCATCAACCGTTATCTCGAAGTTTATGTAGTTAATGTTTTGTGTATTCAGCGAGGGATTAAAATATCCCTTTGCGGCATGCGTGTTGGCCTCACGAAATATTGCGATACTTTTGACCTTTCCAACTAAAATTGTGTGATTTATTAAAACCTGTTAGTGGATTAAACTGATTATTATTTCAACGTTACATCACACTTTTCAGGCCCTGACAAATGTAGGTACATAGTTTCAGTAAATTGGGATTATGACAGGGTACGAAAATTAAAAATCTAATTAGTCCGTAAGTTAGGTAATGAAAAAATATTTGACACGTATTTTTTTATTATGTCGTATAATAAATTAATACTTAGATAAAACGAATCAAAGTTTAGGAGTGGGGGCTAGAACGTCATTTCTACGTATAAAATGTACATAGAAATGACGTCACGCGACATTTCAAATCAATATATCGTCTAAAATATTCGTTTCTGTAAGAAAATAAAAACTATGTGTCCAATAATTTAAAATAATCTATCAGACGGACATTGAAATAAAAATTAGGCATCTACTCTATTTAATTTCCACTACCAAATAATTTTGAATCCTACCATAATTAATATAAATAGGGATAAAAATTTGATAACACAACCAATATTTTTAAATACATTTAATAATTCATTAAATTCGTCATGGTGTATATAGCAAAAGCTTATTTCGTGTAAAGCCAGTCTAGAATTTCGTAGTTTTTAATTAGATGGCGCTTGTTGAACGGTTTGGATGGTAGGTATAGGTAAACGTTTCACTAGTTTTTGGCACAATGTCGGCACTCTCGTTTAGTTTTGTGGCAGTTCGAATCACGTCGGTGGCTCTCTGGCGGGGAGCCAACATTCATCCCTCGAGCAACTGTCGCCTCGTGTCGCCCGTTACGCAACCAAACCCACCCTGTAACCTATTATTGGGGCATTCACTTACCTATATTCGGATTCGGACGTTTCTACTTTCCCTCGGATTCAATACCGAACATTTATTTTCGTAATTTCAAAAATAAAGGCCTATTTCGATCGTTTTATGCTAATGTGTAAGGAAAATTGGTTTCCGATAAACCAAATGACATTTATGTCTAGATTAAGAAACCATGAATTCCAATACTCGAATGTACAAATAAACAGTGTGATGTTTTTACTCAAATAGGTCCCTACTGAAAAAGAAGACATTCAGTTTAAAAAAATAAAAATAACATAATTTTTTTATTGCAATATTCAAAAATCGTTCTAAAATAGCTATGTTCCTTATCTTATACAATATGAATGGTAAAATTGGGAAAGGGTTCCCCAAGGATTCAAAATGTTGGGTTTGCAGCTGCTAATGTTTGGGGCAATGATTTTGGTTGTGCTACATCAGCCGTGACCTCAGGGGGCGCGTTATAACCCTTTCCAACTGTTTCATAGAATGCAATCTTAGAACGGGCTCCTTCAATGGTATTTTTATTCGGAGTGTTTTAGTATTTTAAAGGGCTTTTTAAATAAACAGTACCTTTAATAAATCATTTTTAAAGGGCACTGAATATCTTAATATGAATTAATAAAAGAAAGATTACTTCCTCATCTTTTTGTAATATAAAAACAATTTTCGAAGGAAATAAAAACAAAACCGTCAGCTTAAACATTCACAAAGTTCACGCGACCATTAATAATGATTTTTAAATTAAGGCACTCCAGCTTGAAAGGGTCCGTAATGTTAAAAAGGTACGCCTGGAAAGGTATCCAAAAATATTCGGAGGCCGTGGCTTACTAAATTACTCCCTGATTTATTATGATTAATACGCTAATTTGCATAATCCCATAAATAAGTTTGGACAAAATATCTGTTTAGTAAGGACACTAAAATAAACAAAAAATAAGTATGAAATATGAACGTGTCCACTGTCCACCGGCGAATAAATAATAATCGCGTATATAAACACAGGCTAGGCACCAGCTGGCAGGCAGCCAATCCTGTGACGTCGTAGTGTTATGCAAGGATCGATCCTAGGAGCCGAGTGCCTAATGCTGGCACATTCACAAACAGCCGGCTACGTGATTCAGCATTAAGTTGGCACGCAAACAATAGCTACTACCTACTACCTCTACATTCTACAACTACATTTACAGTCCAAAAACATGAGCTTCGTGAACACACCGAGTTACGATCTTCGGTAGCGATATTTCATGCTGACATCACTGTAAAGCAGCGCTGTAAGTAATGTTACGTTCGCGTGTACCACTCTTTGCTAGTCGTTATACGGCAGGAGTTGCGAGAATCTGTGTCGGTACAAATCTGTACATAACAGCAACAATACGAATATAATTGAAAACACGTACAAAAGTATTTTATAAGGCAATAAAGCAATAAAGTTCGATAGTTAACCGGCTCGTAATACCGTCATTAACTATGTAGAATGCGTCTCATGTGGCCTGTGGGATATGTTCAAACTAATAAAATGTAACAGCTAGTTCGGAACACCGAGTAATTGCCCACTAAATGCTGTCGAACGACCACCATACCTTTTTGAATTCAGTAGGCTTTGTTAAGACATTTTACAGTCTATCTTTCATAAATTTGTGAATGAAAAGGCCTCACCTGAATTGTCTCCTAACAGAATATAAAAGTAATGCATAGAAATTGCTTTTCTTTCCTCCCTGGAGGTTACGTAAAATAACTTTCCCTCGCTCTATAGTTAATACCCCAGAGTATTCGCGGGTCCATCGGTTATAAGCATATTATATGAATACTAACACACTTATGTAGATGAATTTTATATTTGCAAGTTTACGTGGAATAAATAAAACTGTTTCTGTTCACAAAATATTTACATCCATACGTACATTTTATTTCTATAAATAGAAGTCGTGACAAAATGGGAAGAAAAATAAACCGTCCTTATTTTCGAGAACAATGTAAAAACATTCAAAGATGATTTCTATCTTATTCGAGCCTTACAGGAAATTGAAATGCTCATTCAGCAATTCCCGTCTCCACTGTGTTCAAGTATTGTCGAGCATCGATTTTATTCCCCTAAAATGTCCCCGTAAATGTGTGACACTATGTGTTTTACAGAAGCTCGTTAGCAAGTTATACCGTGGTCCTATCAGTTAATCTTAATACCAATCTATAATAACTAGGTTATAAATACATACACAGCTTACCAAATTATATCGCTCAATATAGTTTTTCAATTGTTTCAGTAATTTAACGATCAACGGCCACTATTGTCAGTAAATAAAATTGAACAGTTAACTGCACTTCTATTATAAAATGATACAATAACTTTACAATAATTTAACTATACACGATATAAACATCCTTTCGTTTTATTGTAAGCGAATTACCACATTAAAAGTAGTTAAAAGTTCCGGAGAACGGTAATAGGAACTATAAATCTATTTCGTTTTTTTTATAAATAAATCGTTAATTACAGTTTTAATTCGTAAAGGCAACAGTTCCGCCCTTCGAGGTCACAACCCGTCCTATATACCGACTCTAAGTTGACTGTGTCGTAATACTTTCAGCCTAGTCGCCACATATCTGGAGATTAATGAATGAATTTGTGTCTCGTAACGCATCTAAAATTATTATGAAATATTTTTAATAGATATAAACGATTTTTGAACGATTACTCACAGATTATAGGGATAATTCCGATGGTGCGTGGAATCCGCTTATGAAGCACTGGTTGCGCGTGTAACTGTATGAAATGTGGGCTGTAGGGGTGCCTCCTGAAACACTGGCAAAAATCGGCGGGACGGCGCACGCCACACTCCCCTGATATTGATTTTGGGCGGCAACGTGCCCCCGCCACAGTAGTGACATCTACATCTCTCACGGACAGTGAACAACAACCTTCTGCAGCTACATCCATTTACCGATAGATGGCGATACAACCTTGACCGTAATGTTTAAAACCTTTGTTGTTGTTTATATCCTGTCTGCGATCACACACCTAATTTAAACAACAATTATATTTTTAGTTTAATTGAAGTTTATTGATGACCTTAAATGTACATAAATGATAAAATCTTTATTGTTGCTTTGTAATATGGGGTGTATTTATGTGCCAACGTGATCTTTACTTAAAACCCTAAAGCCTGCGTAGGTTCATAAAACGTAATTTTATCACCTAACTTCTTGTCTATACTTTGGTTCTTAACGTAGCTATAAAACTGTACAGTAAGATGATATTAATGTATATGTTTGGTCAAAAAGTATTAGACGCGTAGATATTGGTCCTATATTTGTAGTTTTATAGGTGCCTATGCTAAATGAAAAATAAATAAAATATTTTATACAGCTAGTCTATCAAAATTGCATAAAGTTTAAAATTGCCGCGTACCGAGTGAATAATATATCTATACTATATCATATAATAATTATAAATCTGTAGAGAGATCAATAAAATTCTGTACACGAAATATATATTTCCAAAATAACTATCAAGGTGTCATTAGGGATCGATACTGATGGCAAAAATGCAATTAGTAAAATTTTTGTGTCTGTCTGTCTGTATAACCGTTATAGAAACAAAAACTACACGACGGATTGTAACAAAACAACTTTTATTTTTCATATTCCTGAGCTAGTTATAGTATACTTTTCATCATGCTACAATCAGTAGGAGCAGAGTAGTGAAGGGAAATGTTGGGAAAACGGGAGAAGATACTCCACTACGCAAAAACTACCGGTCTGATGACGATGAAACTTGGTATGATTATACTTTAATATCCTGGGGGCATCACACTGGGTAGGTACTCTTTATTCCGAAAAATTATATACCTACAGAAAAAAACAAACTTAATTGTGCAGTTCCATCCTTAGACACAGATACTATACCAAGCGCAAACATAAGTTTGTCGCGTGAATAGTTGTTAGGTTGGTCACTGTGGACAATATCCTGTAACTGTAGGGCCGATGGTCGAAATTACCTTGAACCACTATTATAAACGGAGTAAATTTGTCTTTTTGTGTGTTTGCGAGTTTGCGTGTTTGTGTATATTTTGGTACTCAGTCACATCAAAATGGCTGAAGGGACCGGGAAATATGGTATGGATTATCCTCTGGAGTAATACATACGCATTTTACCCTCGGGAATGCGGGTCAAGTGGCTGGAGAAGCTAGTACATAAATACAAATAATTGAATTACAAAACAGGTGGCGTAAACCAGAATTGTTTTAATAGACTATTTATAAATAACAATACATCGACAGATTTGTGAATAATAAAAAAATAAATAAATAAACGACACCGTCTGCGGGCGAGCGCGTTGAATTCTAATGTGTGCGCTACGCCGCGCGCCGCCTAACTTCGTAGCAATAATATCGGTATAACAATAATTCTCGAAAACAATACTACATTTCTTTCTTTTCGCACTCAGAAACGTGCCAGTTTAAGTTTTTATGAGACACATAAAACGTGGTTCAGTTCAACTCCAACCCAGCTTTTTCTGTCTTCGAGTTCGTATGCGAAAAGAAGAAATAAAAGGTTGGTTGGAATATTATCGGCGGGATCAGTGTGGTATACCTGTGGACCTGTGGTGTGCAAGTGTGTGTGTTACGTATGGTGCGGTGCAGGTGTGGGCGTGTGTCGTAACGCCAGCCGCTGCCGGCCGCCGACGCGCGACGCAACGTTGCGTAGCAGCTGTGCGTTCACACTGGAGCCACCCTACTACTACGAATTAAAACTATTTTTTGGTTGAATGAAATCAATCAAGTATTTTATATAACTGATTAATATGCCTTAACACACAACCCATTTATATTTTCTATTTTCGTTCCTACGCTCGAAGTATGGATGTCAATTGATAATTTGGCACAATACAGTTACAATTCTTTATTTTATGGGTTTAAATATGTAGGACATATTTCTTATGTGAATATACACAGTCAATCAAAAACCGATTATGCGCTAGTTTTCAATACTCTCTCTTTCCCAGAGACCCTGTAATTCTGAGTATTTACAGTTAAAGACATAATGATAAAGAGACGACTGCGATCGTTGTGGTTGGTGTGAACGCTGCCGCTCACAGAAAGTAAAGTTGGTATGGTAGTGGCGGCGCAGTGTTGCTCCGTGCGGCGCGCAGACCGGTCCGCCATGTCGCGCTGACATCTCGCGCACCTCCTGTCAAACTGACAACTATCTCACTGACAACCATCGACTGACAAGTGAAACAATGTGGCCAGTGCTCAGCCTCCTCGCCGGCGCCTTCCTGGCGACCGCGCACGCACAGGTAACAAAGTGCCCCATACAACCTTAACACAACGCATTATCATACATCATGCACATTATTATCAACACTGTATGCACCATTACGAACCTATAGCTCTTTGTACTGCAACTTTACAAGACCATGGGCTCTTATTCCGCGCTAATAACTAAATGTCGTCATCACAACACAATAGAATAAGAAAAAATAATGATTAACGGACCTCTACGTTGACTTCAAAGTCACTCGGATTAATGGTTTATGAATCGCGTGTTGCACTTAAATCGTTGTTATCAGGTTTTGCCGAACTAATGCAAAGTCCTGGTCGGTAAAGCTCGTGTTATCTCACGTTATATCATTGGCGCAAAACTAGAACTGTACATAAATGTTACCTAATTGTCGTTGACCGACTAACGAAAGTACTTTAAATGCCGACCCATTAGCACAGCCTTGACAAAATTGATAGCTAGAGTTTTACTACAAACGAACTTTGTTTATCTTTTATTTTGTAACATTATCAAAGAGTTGCACTCGTAGAATCATAAATTCGATTGCATAAACGTACGTAATTTATTCAGTTACCTAGTTCTCTGTAACTTAATTGGAAGTAATGTTAGATGATTCAGTGTAACAAGAAATCAAAGAGATTCGTTTGTGTGGTATAAATTAGTTCTGTCGTTACATTACGTAGGTAACTGTTGTAATAGTTGTTATGTACGTGAACGTAACTCATCGTGTAACCCACATCTCGTATCAAAGAGCTTCACACCATGGCTCTACGTGTTTAATCAAATGCCATGAGCAAATATGGGGCACAATGTATGTACGGATCGGGTATGTAAGTACGATGAGTGTGCTATGTAAATAAGTTGGAGGAAGGTTGATCAGCTGCCGGCTGTATAAATACCTGCCCAGTATACGCCTCTGCTTTAAAACTATTTTTATTATTATCTTTGTCGTTATAAGTACTACAACGTCCTTGACTATATTTCATTGAATATTTATAAATAAAAGTGAATTAATTCTTAGTTAAATATTGTTTAACGAATACTTATGCTTTGTATAAATATTAGTATGACACATTCTTTGCTATATACCAGAATATACCTTATTAATAATAGATTAAAGTCCATAGTCTAATCCGGTCCAGATCTTAATTTAGCTAAACAATACGTATGTCGTATCTGTACACGAAAAAATTTAAGTCAATATAGTATTCTATTTTCTATTGGAATGACGTTACTTACTACTATCGAATAATAATAATATAAAGATATATGATCTAATAAATTAAAATGTGAATTAAGAATCAGATCTGAAAATTGAATAGGTGCACAGATTTGATTCAACCTTTGTATTAAACTGAAAACAAGTCAGTCGGTTAAACAATCGATGCAATGACGTATCAACAAAATTAAGCCGCATACTATAAGAGGAACGCTGCAGGTGGCTAATTGATTTGAAATTAAGAAAAAGAATATCTAATACCAAGAAGTATTTTAACTGAAATCGCGGGTTCCTCATGAGCAGCGTGCGCAGTCGCGGCGACGTCGCGCAGCTCATGAGGAAAAACCCCTCTGTGGTACGAAACTAGTAGAACTTTCCTCAGTATATTCACGTGAATAACCCATGATTTTAGTTAATTTAGTATGTCTCACGATAGTTATTATAAAAACAAAAAGTATTTAACAAACACACAAAATGTTGCATGAATAACCGAAAATATTCTCAATAGAATAACTAGAATACAGAAATGAAAATCGTGTTGACATCATAGTCACTTATCAGATACATATCTATCTATAGTTTTCACTTCCAATGTTAAATACCAAATGAATGAATGAAAGTTATTCGTATAATGAATAACTGTTGGTTGGTTCATCTAAATAGCTTATCCATGTTTCACATACGCCAATTAGAAGATTAATGTATTATGTATTTAATTCAAATGTCACCGAAATACGCAGCTTTGCATAAAGTTAATAAGCATACAGTCACCGAGCGAAATTAGCGGAAATGAAGTCCTACATTAACACAAAATGTTAATACATTATTGTTTCCTGTAAAGCTTATAATTAATCCTATGAATATGCATATGTTGTGTAGTTTAGTGAACGAAATAAGACAAAATCGATAGTTGATGTAAAATCTAGAACAAGAGAGAACAGTCAACAAGAGACGTTCAACTATTATGCGTAAAATTTTTGGTATTACGGCACTGACACCGACTTTTAAGACCCATTAGTTCAGTGTTCTGTGGACTAGGACTTATTCCAGTTGACAATGAGCAAGTCTAATAAACTCTAGCTCTACAATATTCATAGGACTAAAAATATCTAACCGATTTTTTTAACCGCTATTGAACTAAGCTCTGCCTAATTGATATTTTGGTGTAAACAGATATGTAAAAGCCTAACTCAGAGGACAATATAAATATTAAAGTAAAATTTGGGAATATTTGCAATGTCCTAAACTTTTACATTTTTACGAATAAATACAAATTCTAGAGTACTCCTCCATTTTGATTTCATACTCTAACCTATAAATAGCATTCTGAAACTTGATCTTAAACGAATAACGAGGGATTGAATACCAACGATCCTTTTTGAAATAGAACCAGCAAATTATATTTCGATATTAAGCCATTGTATCAAATTACCCATTCTCCAAAGTCCTCTCAGTTTTCAACCTCAGACAATCGGTTTTCTTAATAATAGATCATAATAGTACACTGGACACCAAATTACACAACAGTGGAGTACGAGTTTTGCATTAGCAACTGTTCATAACCTAGTTAAACTAGTAGTTAAGCGAGCACAATACCTTTTGTAACTTTAAACTATGTTTTACATAGTACTTTGTAAACGATACTACTATATTGGGTGAAAAATAAATGATATAAGTCTTTTTGTATGCATTTGACGTTATATTTTGCTGTAGAGGTATCTCTAAATATAAATATCAATTGCTGTTCGTTAGTCTCGCTAAAACCCGAAAACGGCTGGACCGATTTAGCAAAGTTTAATTTTGAATTATTTGTGGAAGTCCGGGATATGTATAAAGGTGAAAAAAAAAATTGAGGTGGTACGAAGTCTGTCGGGACAAGCAGTTGATTAATAAAAAACCAAAGAAACACACGTCAAGCCTTATCTAGTTTTAAAATTCTTGCAAGAATGTATACCTTCTACATGAATATAGTAAAGAGTGAACAAACCTGGGACTTGTTGTACAGTGAACGACATTTCATAAACTTAAATGTAACCTTGATTTAGGCATAATTGGAGTTAAATACCATTGGCGGTGATACCAATTTAATTGACGTGAATTAAGTGGAATATATGGGACCAACTACTTCATAAAACATGCATTGGTCCATAATTAAACATGTTATAAGTACTTGACTATACTGAAGGAACCCTGCCACCAATTTAGGCCATATTAGGTTCTGCATGGCACGCCAATGCCAGGCGTCTGGCAGCGGCGCGGGCGCAAGGTCATAACGGCCTACGCATCCCACACGCCTCGCAGGCTGCTTGATAAAACTTTTGACTTTTAAACACTACAAATTACTGCCCTTTCCTGTAGCATTTAACTGGAACTTGCTTGTAGTTTGCTTTTATTTTTTGTTTTAATTTACATTTATTTTCACCTTTGTAGGGGACTCATTCTGTACATAGTCGTGTTTACAATACAAATACCTATTTCGCACTGAAAAAACACACAACACATGTCAAACATTTTGAGTAATACCAGGATCACATAATTCCGTAGGAAAATTCTTACCTACTAACTACATTAACCTCCCAGTCTTCCATTTGATTTGCAATTAATCAATCTTTGTGGACCAATGTTCTTTCAAGTACACACTTGTCAATGTTCTATTAGGTACACACCTAATAGAACATTGATACACAACGCTCAAGTTAAACGCCTAGAGGTACCAATACACGTTGTAGGCGCTGCATACCAAAACTACGATTGTTCATTCATTCAAGGAAAACGAACGGTGACTCAAATCGCAATATTGACTCATATGACGAACGTAACATGTACAATGTACATACTTACATAAATTAATTCTTATACTGAATCATTATATTTTTACAAGAACATATTTATTTTAACAGACGTGCTCTAACTATGCTGTACTAAATATAACAATGAATAAAATTCCGTAGTTAAATGAACATCCACACTTGTTCGCTACAATATATTAATTGAAGTAGTGCCTTATTATCACTTTATTATACTATTTATCCCAAATTACATACAATATACATACATACATACATAACATCACGCCTTTTATCTCCGAAGGGGTAGGCAGAGGTGCACATTATGCCACTGTACAATGTAACACCCACTTTTCAATATTTATGTTATATGAGTCCCATGTACCTAATAGGGGGTGAGCCTATTGGCATTGCCATATACCGGGCACAATTCCTGAACGGGCTGTATGCTCTCGTACATATGATGTTGTGTGTAGTTGGTGTATGGTGTCGGTGTGATCCCGATGTGGGTTCAGGGATTAGTGGAAATGTAAACACCACCGACACAATTGAGCGATTTATTAACACTAAAAATTATACAAATCATCTTAGATACAAAGGTCTTCACAGTATCGACGAAGTGTGTCACAATGTCAGCAATACCTACGGCCTTGCACAATTAGTTGCGAATGTTACAATTATTAAATATTTCTTAAAGAATGTACGATGACTCGTACATATTTCCCACTAAACAGAAAAAAGGGAATTAAAAATGGAATTAGGTAAGCTAGAAGTATAACAGATTAAATTAAGTTAAAAGTTATAGAAAAGGTAACTAAGTTATACAATTCAAAGTTATTGATTTGTCACGTTACTAGTGCTGGAGCTAAGGTTAAAGTGGATGGTTCTTGGAAGTCCAGGTGATGTCCCGATGTCCACGTTCGATTGAGTGCGTCGTACTAAGTTAGTCCTCTTTGTTTGTTTCGAATCATCCTCTCGGTTGGGTTCTACTTTAATCTCAATAGATGATGT